ATGACCAGTGGAACCTGAGTCTCTTGGGTTTCTCATGAACAAATGCTCATGTTATTGAATAAACAGTATTAAAGAGCTACTGTGTCAGGAAAGCAAGGCGATGCGGATTCTGGGGAGAGAATAAATATGATGTTTGAATGAGACGTTTGAGATACTGTCAGGCTTGCTAAGAAGGCGTTTTGCATGTACTGCCTTCTGCGGTGAAAGTACTCCCGACCTAGGAAGCTGGTCATTCCTGTCACCTTCTGTGTGCTCTCCAAAGCCTCTAGTGCACACATTGCCTGAAACTGGTGCACCAATAATGAAGGACTAGATGCAGTTTTTCTGGATGGAAAGACAATGACGGCAGTGCAGGATGTCACACGGCCCGTGCTTCTGCTCACCCCACGTTTCCAGCACTTCGTAGAACTCGCACGCAGTCAAACTTTGAGTTGAAACTCTCACAAGTGTTTTGAGGATCTGTATTTTTAAAGTGGTGCATTTTAGGGGCGCCTGGGTGGCTCAGTCGGTTGAGCGTCTGCCTTCGGCTCAGGTCATGATCCCAGGGTCCTGGGATCGAGCCCCGCATCCGGCTCCCTGCTCCGCGGGAAGCCTGCTTCTCCCTCTCCCACTCCCCCTGCTTGTGTTCCCTCTCTTGCTGTGTCTCTCTCTGTCAAATAAATAAAAATAAAATCTTTAAAAATAAATAAATAAGTGGTGCGTTTTAGGCAGAGGAAGGGTCTCTTGCCGAGACCAAATTATCAGCTACAAGTTAATAAATCAGGAAACTTCCTAACTTTCCACCCTGTTGCACATACGCAAGACAAAATGGTTTTGTCTCAGGCGGCAAGGCGAGTCCTGCAAAGCTGGTATGACAAAAGTACCTTTCTTTCCACTGAATAAAGGAAAGGCTCTCTCCCGCCCGCTCCCTCTGAATCATGACTCCAAACTGTGCTGGAGACAATAGTGGCTAAAGGCATCCTGAGCCAGCGGAGGTAGACAGGAAGTCATAAATTCACTTCCCCTCATTTACAGGGTTTGTTCAATAAAGAATACTAGTCTATGTTAGAGTAGTAGCCTTTGGATATCTAACAAAGAGATATTTATGCATATAAAACAGACAATCAGTGTGGGTGCCAGAGAGGAGTGAGGGCACAGATGCGCACCAAACACTAACAGCCCCCTGACGGTGTCAGTGTGGCTGGAACAGGGCCCAAAAGAAACAACGGGATTTTTTAAAAGAAGGCATAGCAGGGGTCCTCTGGGGTTCCTATCAAAAATAATGGCCACCCCTTAAATGTGTTCTGCAAAGCAAAATGAGAAATCAAAATAGAATATACATGGGCGGTCCTGGCATAATTGCAGTATTAAATTCTTGGGCCCCCTATTAACTTTCAGTGAAAGAAAGACGGAGCCGTTTTGCAAAGGAAAAGCCAGGAAATGAACTGCATGGGATTAGGAAACTCTCACCTGAATGTTGACGAACACGCCGTGGTAAGTCTCGTACAGAACTTTGTTGCCCTTCACGTGCAGAGGAAACTCAAAAGGAATTTCCGTTTTGCCACTGGGAAATTTCCCTGGCTTCACCATTTCAATGGTACTGTTGATAATCTGGATAGGCTGTAAAGAAAAGGCAACTCCATCCATCAACACGGGTTTCTGGGTGCATTTTCCAATTAGCGTGTCTATTAACGATCTCCTGAAAGACACGAGCCCCGAGCCCTCGGAGGCTACCCTCCCCGTGTCCTGGCCAGCACAGTGCTGGGTCTGCAGACGAGCAGCCAGCTGGCTCCAGTCACTGGCGCAATTATGGCTCATTCACAGGACCGGATGCTTAGATGTTTGGTGCACATCCGAAGCCATATTTCCTCTCCTTTCCCCAAAAAGCTCTGTTCGCTGTCCTAACAACCCTCCTGCCAGGCACTCCTACCTTCAGAATGAAGCAGCAGACGTGGCACAGTCAAGGCGCTGGGCCAGGAGGGCTGCCACCTGAACCCGGGGGCTCCTCACCAGCCTGTGCCCGCCTCAGACCCCAGCCTCCTGGGAGCCTCCCCACCGCCCGCCGCGTGGGGAGGAGCAGGTCTGTCCTCAGCCCTGGGTGCCTCCGCATTGCACTGGGACCCTGCCCAAAGGCAGCTATCACTCCTTAACTAGTTCATGTATTCGAAGCCTTGGTTTAGCATCACTCAGAAAATCTACCACTTGTGAAGTGAGTCTCTGAGTGCTTCTGGAAGAAAACACGGAGATTGGGGAAGAGCACGGGGAGGCCCCGAATCTGAATGTGGTTAATGAGAACCCTTCTTCCCTCTGACCTCCTTCCCCCTCAAAACTCAGAGTTAATATGTCCTTCCGGAAAAGGAAACTCTAAGTACAGAAAAAGAGTTTATATTCTGGAACACACACCTCTACCCAAAATGACAAAAAGGAAAAGAATGGCCACTGCTCTATCTGCGTCTTACCTGAGTACCAACTCCAAGAGCTGCCGTGTACACAGTCCAAATAACAGTTTTGTTTTAGGAAGGTCAGTGCCAGAAGCCAGGCACTTCTCAGAAGAGCGCTGGTGTCTTTAAAGGCTGAATTCAGTCTACTTACAGTTCTCCTAATCCTATCTTACAGGAATAAAAACAGGCAGACTGGCAATAGTAGGATGTATCCAGAGTCAAAATATCTGAATCTTTTGGTGGTTTGATTAGCAAGTATTAAAAAGTAGGACCACTGCTATGCCTTGCAAAGTATTGACAGGTAACAACAATAAAGCCAGAAAACAAGTAAAAACCACCACACGCATCGGGATAATGAACTAAAAATGTGCAACGTCAGCGTTCTTACCTTAACGGAATTATAGAATGCCTCGAACACACCCACACTCTTGGCACTGAGCTGGAGGTTCACACTTCCTTCCACTGTCAAAGACACTCCCTGGTGCTGGACTGAATCCTTACCAGATATGACCACCACGCCCGAGAGCACTTCCTAGGGGAGCAGAGACAGCCACCAGTCAAATTAACACGTCTTTGCATTCACCTTGTTTATTAGCAAAAGCAGGTCTCCTTAACAGGCAATTTGTTCAAAGATGCAGATATTCACTGAGCACTTAGTGCAGACCAGACACCTGGATGCTGGGATGGAGCAAGCACAGCGTCCCGAAGGGGCGGATGACGCGGGCGGGGCCGGACCTCTGGGGAGCATGGGGCGGGGGGGGGGGGGGGGGGGGGCGGGGGGGGGGGGGGGGGGGGGGGGGGGGGGGGGGGGGGGGGGGGGGGCAGCGGATCTCAGGCCATCAGGGCTTTCCAGACATGTCCGCACTCCCGGCTGGGAGAATCCCAACAAACGTGTGATTCCAAAAAGGGTAAAGAGCAGGGCCAGAGGTAAATAGCAGCTTCATGGCCACATTATACACAAGTATGTATAATGACCTCTTCAGAAAGAATACAATAAAATAAAACCCTTTCCTTTGGGTTCTTTCTCAATTATGCTAAAACGACTACACATTTTCATATGCATAATGTAACACAACTACTGGCCCGGTGCTCCCTCGGCCCAGGAAGCCTCATTGAGGAGGGGTCTGGAGCTTGTCCACAGAACACGTGAGGGCACCCCACCACTTTCGCTAAGTCTTCCCCAGTCTCTCCACAGCCCGGCTCTCTCTGTAGACATTCGAGCCTAGATTTCCCTGGATCATGAATCATTTAGGAAAGATTTCACAACAGATCATCTATTCATCTATCAGAAGATAATTACGGAGTAAGAGAATATGGACATTATCCTCTCTCCTGGATGGCAGTCTCTTCCTGTCACCACAGAACTCGGCGGTCTCAATTTGCTACGGGGGTTTGGGGTGGAAAAGGAAGTTCAGGAGACGACACAGCGTCCACCAGAGCAGAAAGAGAATCCACAATAAATTCAAACAACATGTTTGTGAAATGACTTTCAGAAACGTAGAACGACTGCTGTCAAATGGTAGTATGATGGCTGCAAATTACTGACAACCAAACCAAAAAAAAAAAAAAAGAAATACAGCAAAATTAAAAGGGGCCTGCAGATCAAAGCATTAAAAACCATCTGTCCTATTGGTGTTTAAATCTTATTTCCGCTAGTCACCCAGTGAAAGAACTTGTACCAAGTTCTCACAGTCTGAAGAATTTGGGGAGCAGGAAGAAGTCTGTGTCCCTTAAATGAGCAAGTATTTTGTTTTTGTTTCCTGCTCCCCCATAAAAACTGCATAAGCCAATAATTTTTTTCCCTATTTATTATTTTTTTTGGATGTAGTGTTCCATGATTCACTGTTTGCGTGTAACACCCAGTGCTCCATTCAATATGTACCCTCTTTAATACCCATCACCAGGCTAACCCAGCCCCCCCCACCCCCCTCCTCTCTAAAACCCTCAGTTTGTTTCTGAGTCCATAGTCTCTCATGGTTTAATTTAGACTAAAAGTCCTCTGAAATAATTTAACTTTTAAATTTAATTAAAATTAATTCTATTACTTGTACAACCCAAATCAAATAGAAGTCTAATGTTTAAAAATTTAAATTCACTGGTATATTTTTAAAAATTGATTTGACTAGTATCAACTAATAAAATGAGCCAAAACAATTTCATGAACTTTATCACTTACACGACATGGCAGCACTTGGGACACTCTGATCCTATCTAATCACACTGTCAGTTAATCTCATGGGAATGGATCTGGGCTGACCACTGATTGGCATATTATAGTCGTGACATCAGGACAACCCTTCCTTCCCTGGTCCCTATAGCATAAGGAGGAAAAGGAAGTAAAGTACCTTGGAAGGAAGCAGAGTAAATATTTCATGACCCAAGGGACTCTTTCATCATTCTTTGATTTAATTAAGAAAGAATAAGTAGAGGGGCACCTGGGGAACTCAGTGAAGCGTCTGCCTTCGACTCAGGTCATGAACTTGGGGTCCTGGGATCAAGTCCTACATTGGGCTCCCTGCTCAGTGGGGAGGCTGCTTCTCTCTCTGTCCACCCGCCCCCCCACCCCCTGCTTGTGCTCGCTGTCTTTCTCTCACTCCTTCAAATAAATAAATAAAATCTTAAAAAAAAAAGAAAGAAAATATAGTAGAAATACAAAATTAATGAAACATTTGTAGGTAAGTTTGGCAGGTCTGTTCAATCCCCACCAACAAAAAAGGGGTACAGAATTTGTCCAAGTGTAGCCCAAGAAGCCAAGGTACAGAAATTTTTTTTATTATTATTTATTTATTTTTAAGAAACAGAATTTCAGAAACAGAAGACGGTTAAACAAAGAGGTAAGGCCCATAGTAATAGGAACCGATTCTTTTGTTTTTGTTTTTTTTTTTTAAGATTTTATTTATTTATTTGAGAGAGAGAATGAGAGAGAGAGAGAGAGAGAGAGCATGAGGGGGTAGGGTCAGAGGGAGAAGCAGACTCCCTGCTGAGCGGGGAGCCCGATGCGGGACTCGATCCTGGGACTCCAGGATCATGACCTGAGCCGAAGGCAGTTGCTTAACGACTGAGCCACCCAGGTGCCCTGATTCTTTTGTTTTTCATGGAAAGATAATTGACATATAACACCTTATTAGTTGTAGGCACCCCAGACAATGCTTGATTAATTCTGGCAAAGGAGCACAGAATGAGCTTGAATAACTAAAACTAAGGGAAAACTCAAGACCTCACCAAGAACGTGCCCCCAACTTTCGTCTAGAACTCTCAACAGGGAGAAAGTAAGACTATGGCTCCGGATGGTGCTGATACGTCACCCAACGTCATTAGCAGGGGTCACTCATAGACTCAAGGATGGGAGCAAATCCCAGAAACGATGCACAAATATCACACGCACAGGTGCTAATTTTTAGAAGGGCCATGGCTGTCATCACGGCATCAAGGGGGCCCCGGGCCTGAGAAAGGCCCAGAAATACAGACGTGAGTGATGCAGGACCCCCACTTGCACGTGTGGAGAAGACTCAAGGTGACAGACCCTGCTTCGGCCGCACGGCTCCGCTGATGGGGACTCATGACCGGGTCAGCTCGACTCTCTGGCCCGGAGGAGCCAGGTCTGGAGAAGGGCCTAGAACAGCTGTCTTGAGCTGCAAACCAAAGCTCAGGCTGGTACAAGCACCGAGAAGGTACTGGTCGCACCCCGGTTTCAGCCACGCTGGCCTTCTGGGCAGAAACGACACCCAACTCCATTCAGAGATCTCGTTCTTCTCTAAGTGGAAAAGGCCACTACCAAACAACACAACTTTTTTCTTTGGGGTTCCCCAGAATGAAACACCACACCCATAATTTGGACCCCGGGTTTGAAGATGGTGGTGTCAAGTCAGCATCCCCGTGCCAGCCTCCTGGAAGCCACCCAAAAGAACAAGAAATAATCCCACAGCCTCTATTCTTGGTGAAGCAAGGAGACAGGTGAGGACCAAGAAAAGGTGGAAGGCCTGCTAAAAAGGCGAGGAGCCAGCAGGGGCCTGCGGGAGAAAGCCGAAGCAAGGCCCTGTGGCCATGGGACTCAGCTTCTGGCGGGTGAGGGCACACGTCGGGGGCAGCGGCCCCGGCTGCAGGCTTGGATGGAGCTGCTCGGGACCCGAGGGGCCGAGGAGGCAGCCCCAGCAAGAGGTCCCTGCAGGCAGCGGGAAGCAGGAGCCTCTGCAGCAGGGGGAGGCATGCAGGCCCTCCCACTGTGAACCCCCCCCCCGCAACTGCTTCAGCCACAGTGGAAGAGCAGTGAAGGACAAAGACACCCACACATCAAACCTCAGCCAGCCTGGTCGAGGGATAAGTTCAAGGCCTACAAGAAGGAGACATAATCGATGTAAACATGAGAGAGAGAGGGAGGGGAGAGAAATCCAAGCAGCAGATGATGGAGCCACACAAGACAGATTATGTCACTCTTCTACTTCAAGGGACTTTATGGCAGCTCCCCATGTCACTCAGGGGAAAGGCCAAAATCATTTCGATGGCCTACAAAGCGGGGGGGGTCTGCTCCTCCCCTGACCAGTCTGGCCTCATCTCTTAACCCGCCCCCTTAGTCACTTCATTTCACTCCTCCCTCCCTGGCCCCCTTGCTAGTCCTTTAGGTGCCTGCAAACTCCTGCCCCAGGGCATTTGCACGTGTTCTTCCCTCCACCTGGATGCTCCTCCTGCAGGTACCCACGTGGCTTGTGACAAAAATTCTCTCCTTGACCAAATGCTACTCAGCCTTCCTAGAGCTGTTTTTCAACCAGGGCTCAACGTCTGGACTTCCATGTTTGTCTCTGCAGGGTCCAACTGTAGCAAGAATTCTGGCTAATTGCTTTAGCCAGCCCCTGTATCTGATCATCCTTGCTCGGGTTTCTCATCCTCCCCCAGTGCCCCATGTGAGGTCGGTCACCCTGGCCTGCCTTCAGCAAGAATCTTGTTAGGTTGGTTAGCCAGAATCCACTCTTAGATTTTGTCCCCAGTGTCTCCTCTCTGTAATTTTCCACCCACTGACGTCCCCTGGTCCCCCAGCTCCTTGCCCGCGCTACACTCAGAGTTGAGTCTGTTCTCTCTCCTACTGCAAGGCCCCACTGCAGAGGTCTCCACACCCACCACAACAGTTCCCCTTGAAAAAGCCTGCCTGATGTCTTTAACAAGTATCATGGATCATTTTTTCTTTAACATTCACTCCCTCAACTCCATCAAGTCATTGTGCAAACGACACCATTTGAGTGAGGGCTTCCCCGACCACCCTCTTTAAAACTGCCCGCTTCCCAGCACCCACTTATCCCATTCCTCAACTCTGCTCTAGAGCACTCGTCACCTTCTAAAATATACACAAGTAATGACCTCTTATATATTATCTGTACTCCTGAAATATAAACTCCACAGGTTCGAGTGATTGTTGAGAACAGGACCTTGATGAACGCTTACTGAATATTCATTACTCAATATTCAATATTCATAAATGACCATTCACCAGAAAAAAGAGTACCATCAAGCAGATGAAAACTGTGAACATGCATTTCACCA